AATTCCCGGGATCCAGGGACAATTCCCGGGATCCAGGGGCAATTCCCAGAATAAAGGGACAATTCCCGGGATAAAGGGACAATTCCCGGGATCCAGGGACAATTCCCAGGATCCAGGGGCAATTCCCGGGATCCAGGGACAATTCCCGGGATCCAGGGGCAATTCCCGGGATCCAGGGACAATTCCCGGGATAAAGGGACAATTCCCAGAATAAAGGGACAATTCCCGGGATCCAGGGGCAGTTCCCAGGATCCAGAGACAATTCCCAGGATCCAGGGACAATTCCCGGGATCCAGGGACAATTCCCAGGATCCAGGGACAATTCCCAGGATCCTGGGACAATTCCCGGGATCCAGGGACAATTCCCAGGATCCAGGGACAATTCCCGGGATCCAGGGACAATTCCCAGGATCCAGGGACAATTCCCGGGATCCAGGGACAATTCCCGGGATCCAGGGACAATTCCCGGGATCCAGGGGCAATTCCTGCCTCTCCCAACTCCCGCTTCTTCTCTCCGCAGCCGGACTCGCCCCCGGGTGGCTCCTGAGGTTCCCCGTGCGAGGAACAGCACGAAAAGCGGGATTTTATCCCAAAAATCCTCGGAATTTCCCAGCCGGGAGGCGCAGCCCCCTGGGCCGTTGTTCCCTGCGAGTTTTGGAGAGGAGCTGGGCATTGACCCAAACCCTCAGCCCCAAAAATCCCAAGTTTTTGGCCCTGCAGATCCCAAAATTTTATCCCGGTAGATCCCAAAACTTTAGCGGCAAACACCCCAAATCCTGCTCTCCAAAATTGCAAATCCTCGGCCCCAGCGACCCCAAAGCCTTGGCCCCACAGCCCTTAAGCTGAAATAAATTTAAAAAAAAATTAGTCAAAACAGATTTATTTCATTAAAAAAGCAAAATTGTACAATTTTAGTTCCTCTAAAAAAAAAAAAAAAAAAAAACCAAACCAAAAACAAAAAGAAAAAAACCCAAAAAACAACCAAACACCAACGGAAAAAAAATTCCTACCACTGCCGGAACGCTCCGATCCACTGCGAAAATCCGGGAAAATCCAAACTTTTTTTATATATTAAAAACCATTAATTTGACATTTTACAACTTTCTACACGCATGCACAAAACTCTCGGCTCTGCGGGAAAACAAATTCCAAACCCAACCCCGAAAACTGAACCAAAAAAAAAGGGAATTTTGATCTCCCAAAATTCCCCAATGGAATTGTGAATTCCCCACCCTTCCCAGGAAGATCCATCCGCTTTTTTTTTTTTTTTTTTTTTTTTTTTTTTTTCAGGAAAATGCCCCAAAATGGGCTCCAAGTTGAAATTCCCCCCGAAAAGTCCCAAAAAAAAGGGGGGATTTCCTGGAATTGGGGATGGATCCCCCCATTTTGCTACTGGTGCTGGTGGGGAAGCCTCCCCTGGCTCCAAACTCTCCTTTTTTAGTGCTCAGGACAAAATCGGCCCCAAAATCCGACCCCAAAACTCTCCCTGGAATGAAATCCGGCACTTCCAACCCCACCAGGGTGGAGGTGGAAGCTGGAGAAGGGGAAAAAATAAAAAAAGGGAATAAAATTCCAAATCCATCCATGAGGTATTTGCGACCTTAAAAGCAAAACCAGGAGGAGGCAAAAAAAAAAGCGTTTTCCGTGGGATTCCCGTGGGAATTCTGTGGGAATTCTGTGGGAATTCTGTGGGAATTCTGTGGGACCTCGCTGACCTCTCCCAGGAGCTCCTCAGGGTTACGGATCCAGGATTGCCCCGCTGGAATTTGGGACACGGATCCTCTCCGGAGCAGCAAAATCCACCCAAAAAAACCCCAAAAACCTCAATGCAACCTTCTCCTCCTCCAAAAAAACCCCAAATTTCCGCTGTTTTTTCCTAAAAAACCGTCGGCGGAGGGAGGCGAGGAGGACGCTCCCGAAACCTGGGATGCACCACGGGAGTTTTCCATAGCAGCCACGGATCCTGGAGCTGCTTCCAAAATCCTTCTCCTCGCCCAAGGAATTCCCTCGGGATTCCAAACCCGGCAGGGGTTTAAGGCCAGAGCCAGGACAGATGTCCAGGAGAAAACGGACGGGAGCAGGAGGGACCCGGAGCTGCTCCAGGACGCTGGTGAAGAAGGAAGTTGGGAATTCTTGGAATTAGCCCTTGAGTTACGGCTCCGAAGGATCCGGATTTGGGGAATGATGATGAGGAGGAGTTGGAGGAGGAGGAAAAGGGGCTCAGCCACCTCAGGAAAGGACGAGTGGTCATGATCCCAGCAAGGCGCCGGAGCCGGGAGCGGCGTTCCCGGTTTTCCGCAGCCTGGCGGCGCCGGAGGAGCCAAATTCGGAGATTCGGAGCCGGAAGAATTTGGGGAAAAGTCCCATCCCGGCCGGTCACACCGAGGTCTCCGACTGCAGCCTCATGATGAACTTGTGCGACTTGGGGTCCACAAACTCCTCGGAGAGCTTGAAGAACGGGATCTTCTTGGTGGACACCACCAGGCTGAAGTCCTGGCGCTTCAGCACGAAGACCACGCCGTCCTTGAGGCCGTTGGTCACCGGCTCCTCGCTGACCAGCGTCCACTGCTTGGCCAGCCAGCGGTCCTTGTGGTACTGGATGGTGGGACCGGCCGTCAGGTACCGCTCCAGGAAGGCCTTGGGAAAGGGGGAGGACACAAGGTCAGCTCCGCCCGGCTCGGCCCACGGTTTGGTTTGGGAGGGGGAAAAACGGCCCCGCGGCGCCGTGGGGATTTCTGGGGGTGGATCCTGGGATTGTCCAGCTTGGGAAAGAGCTCTGAGGGCATCGAGTCGGAGCTGAGGCCAATCCCCGCCTGCTCAGCCAGAATTCCAGGAATTCCTCCAGGGGTGGCCACTCCAACCCTCCCTGAGGCCCTTCCAAACCCTTTCCAGGAGGAATATTCCCAAATTTCCCACCCTGGCACAGCTCGAGGCCGTTCCCTCTTGTCCTACCCCCATTCCCTGGGATCAGATCCCAAATCCCCCCTGGCAGATCCCAAATCCCCCCTGGATCCCCCTTTTCTCCAGGCTGAGCCCCCCCAGCTCCCTCAGGATCCTCCATTCCCTTCTCCAGCTGCTCCAGCTCCATTCCCAGTTCCCCGCGAGAAGAACCCAGCCCCACCTCGCTCCAGCCCCTCGTTTTCCCGACGGGATGATCCCGAACGGGACGAAACCCACCCAAATCCCGCTTGGACGACCCCCACGCACCTTGGGGGTCATGTCGTGGGTGATGCAGAACTCCAGGTGCTGCAGGATGCTCTCCATGGTGTGGTAGGGCTGCTGCTTGGTGGTCCTCAGGTACTTCTGCATGGCGCGGGCCATGGAGGCGAAGATGGCCTGGGCGGCCTCGCGCGGGTCCATGATCTCCCGCGGGTTCTTCTGGTCCTCCTCCTGCAGCCGCTTGATGTGGGTGAAGGCCTCTTCCACCGCCACCACCAGCCTGCCGGGAGAGGTGGGAAACCCGTGGGTTTGGGGTGGAAACACCATGGATTTGGGGTGGGAAGCCTGGTGGATTTGGGATGGAAACCCCCTGGATTTGGGATGGGAAACCCCGTGGATTTGGAATGGGAACCTCGTGGATTTGGGATGGAAACCCCATGGATTTGGGGTGGGAAACCCCGTGGATTTGGGGTGGGAAACATGGTGGATATGGGATGGAAAACCCCTTGGATTTGCGATGGAAAACCCCATGGATTTGGGATGGAAATCCACTTGAATTTGGGATGGAAACCCCGTGGATTTGGGATGGAAATCCACTTGGATTTGGGATGGAAACCCCGTGGATTTGGGATGGAAATCCACTTGGATTTGGGATGGAAACCCCCTGGATTTGGGATGGGAAACCCCGTGGATTTGGAATGGGAAACCCGTTGGATTTGGGATTGAAAACCCCATGGATTTGGGATGGAAATCCACTTGGATTTGGGATGGAAACCCGGTGGATTTGGGATGGAAAACCCCGTGGATTTGGGATTGAAAACCCCATGGATTTGGGATGGAAATCCACTTGGATTTGGGATGGAAACCCCGTGGTTTTGGGATGGAAATCCACTTGGATTTGGGATGGAAACCCCTTGAATTTGGGATGAGAAACCCCTTGGATTTGGGGTGGGAAACCCGGTGGATTTGGGATGGAAATCCCCTTGGATTTGGGATGGAAAATCCATTGGACTTCAGATGGGAAACCCGGTGGATTTGGGATGGAAACCCCTTGGATTTGGGATGGAAATCCACTTGGATTTGGGATGGAAAATCCATTGGATTTCAGATGGGAAACCCCTTGGATTTGGGATGGAAAATCCATTGGATTTCAGATGGGAAACCCCTT